TTTCCACATATATTGTCAATACTTTTTTCAACTAAATATTTTCTGATTTTCTTTTACTGCAAATATGTAATTCAATGTTCAAAAGTCATAGTCACATTGTAATTCCATTTAGAATCAGATGTATTTGTAGGGTGACATTGTGTAAAAGAATTCACAGGGAAATGCAGCACTCCCATCTAGCTACCCCAAATAGGACTCTACAACAAAAACATACATATACCACCAAAGTTGAGCTTGATGGATGAGTGTTTTATTTTAGTTAGAGAAATATGGATGAAGGATTATTACAGGAGCAGAAATGACTCAAAGAGTGTTGAATCTCTGAAGTCCATCCTGGCAGCTGACAAAAGCTGGAAACATGGAACATATTGCATAGCCTCCACACAGCTCAACAAGCTAGAGAATGTCCCTTCCTGGTAACTCAATTGGTCTAATCCCCATTCTGTCAACTCATCTGATCTGTTTCTCCTTAGGCTTTTTTGCTTCTTCCAGGCAGCTGTGTTTATTTGAATGTCTTCTTTGCAGCTTGACTTTTCTGAAAGTGACTCTAGGAAGACTTTATTGTTCACTCATTGGAGGGAGGATTGCTAAGTTTCAGGGACTTCCTGAAGCTATTTTGAATAGTTTACTTTCTGTTCTAAGGAGCTACCCTGGGAGGTGGACTATCAATCTGGGAGGAAATTACTATGCAAGAAGTGGCAGAATGAAGGTGTAGGAAGCATAACAGTTCTATTGATTTTTAGAGGCACTAGGATGGTAGTTAGAGTGTACATAGAAGAAAATCTATAGGAGTATAAAATATGGTAACAACAAATATGCTATAGGAGGATCAAAAATTATATCTAAATAATTTTTAAGTCAGATATCCTCTGTTGTGTCTTAAATTTTTGTATCTGGTACTAACACTTCAAATTAGCATCTCAGTTACTTTCTCATTCAAATATTCTAAAGGTTTTTTCTTCCAGTCTTTCCCTAGACATCATCTTAATATTTCACCTTTACATTTAGTGTAGAAAATATGCATCCACAAATTTACAGAATGTCTAAAGAGGCATTAAAATTCAAAATGCTTATTTAAAATAAAAATAAAATGGTATTTTCTAGACTTACTTTGGCTTTTAAAACTGAGAAAATCACTAGCAATCTATTTTCTGCAAGAAAGGCTAGTGTGTCTTTTGAGTAATTTATGACTTTCTGTTTGATGGAAACTCTCTTTTTCTAAAAGAAATATCAGAAAGTGAAGGAAAGCACTTTGTACATTATTTCATCATTTTATCAAGAACAAAAAGAATGCTTTAATACTTCCTGTAATTCCACTTTCTTCTTCTGCATACAAAATAACTTTCATAAGTTCAAGATTAACAGATCCTAATTGAAATTCTAAAAGGCAAATATGCAGTGTAATTATCTAGTTTGAAGTCTAACATTTTAAAAGATATTTCTATGTGGAAAAAATGTGTTCAGAAGCTTAGCCAATGCCATATTATAGAAAGAAATGAGCATTGGTTTTTGTAGATATATTCAGTGACTTAAAAATACAGTATTTTATGTTGACTTTGTAACCAAGCTCCATATTTTTTAACAGATGCCATTTCTCTTCTGATTACATTATCCTGTTATGAATTACCTCTGTTGGGAACAAGTGAAGAGGGAAAAAAACTCTTTTCATCAAAGCATAAATCTACACATCTGAAATAGACTATATTCTTAATGCAATAAAAATTATACATATGCAATAATATATCTTTGCCAATTTGAAAAATCATCAAACCTTTAGAGCAGAAAAACTGAGGTATTGGGAGATATCATAAAATCATTAGAGCAGTATATTTATACTTCCAAAGGTGGTATACTTCTACTCCAATAAAACCTCCTCACATGTGCATGCAGCAATAGAAGCAAGGTAAATTGAATTATCTTTAAAATATTGTTTTCCTTATAGTACTGCTAAAAAGGTATTTTAAGCCACAATGCTGTTAGGTAGTACCATCATGTTGCACATAATAAATCGTCTCATTAAACTTGTCAATCACTGATTAATCACCCCATACTAAGAAAGAGCAATTGAATCCTGACATAATATTATCTTAAGGGTACAGAAAGCTCTATGAGGCTTTCTGCTGACAACAAAGATTCACTGAACTGGACAAGGTTCTGTTCAAAAATCTTTTTCTAAAATTAAATGGCACCTAAGCTTTAGAAATATTTTAAATGCAGTCATTGAAACTGACTAAACTGTGATTGGTGTATTAGAACTCACATGGCTCTGCAGCTCATATTTTATAATTTAGAAATTAGGGCCCATATTAATGGCAAAATATTACCATTGTTTTCTTACCTTATAAACTCCTCTCCTCCTCCATTTCTGTTTCCTCTCTAGATTAATGTGGTCCTTTCTGCCTCCCTCCCATTAACTGTTTTATTTCTGTCTCATGTGCACATAAACATTCATGTTTGTGAGCATATTATGCATGTAATAAACTTTCCATTTTTGTATGTAAAATTTAACTTTGAAATACTCATTTGAGACTTAGATGCTGAAGTGTATTCTAGCAACATAATCATTCTTTCCCATTTCTTAATAATAAAATCATGTTATATAAATTATTTCATAATACAAGGATACTAAGTAAGTGCAATTTTGCATTCCAAAATATTATCATATTTCAATAGCATTTTTTATATTTCTTCAGAAGTCAGGATTATTTTTACAATGTCAAGATTTGAGCAGGCACAATTGTTTCTGTTGTTTCCAATATTTTTGGAATGAACAACAACAACAACAAAAAAAAAAAACCAAGTGTGATTTGGAATGTATTTGAGGGGCTATAAGCACTATTTTAATGTAATCTTTTGTTTTTTTCCAGTTTTTCTCTTAAAAATATTGGCTGGAAATCCAGATATTATTCTGTAAAGCAAAGCCCTAAATACTGAGTTATTATTTCAAGGGTTTAAGAGAAGATCCAGTATGACTGACTGGCTTTTTCATCATATATCTTAGGTTCAAATTGGAAGATTCCCACAGGGGTCTAGAACCACATGAGCTTTGTCTTTGTGATGTATTGGTGTCTAAGTGAGATTAAGTAAAGGACAGGCTCAGTTGATCTTATCAACTGTGACACTTACCTGGTCCCTTTCCATGTGTCTAGAATCCTCACAATATAATAGCTAGATTCCAGGGGAAAAATGTCTTTAGTGTCAGCTTGCTAAATACTTTATAGTTTTGGTTGTGAGCCTAGCACTTAGTGGCTGAACCATCCCTCCAGCCAGCTAAATACTTTACAAATTTACAGATTTAGTATTTATTATATGTTGGTCTATCCTCCCTCATTTTATTTACAAAAAAAAGCTACAAATTTATTCTCTTGTGCTCCTTGTAAGGCAATTGTGACATAAAATTGTGTCTTTAGAGTTCCTTATATTCCATAAGACAGACTAGAGACAATTTTATTTTCTTATTTTGGCATACAGAAAGAGTCCATCACTTCTAGTTTTCTCTTTCTTTTGTCCTCAAAGTTGATGTGATCTTTCAACTTCCTGTTCTGGCTGCCACCCCTGCTGGCTGCCATGCTTCGCCAGCATGATGGAGTTTTATCCATCTAAAACTATAAGCCGAATGAACTCTTCATGAACTGTATTGGTCATAGTGTTTGTATCACAGTGATAGAAAAGCAATTAATACAGAAATCAGTATCAGAGAATGGTGCTATTGCTTTAGTGGACCTGGCCATGTTGTGTTTTAGAGGAATATGTAAGTCTTTACAACTTTGAACAAAATAACAACAGGAAAGCATGATTTATGGCTGAAGTAGAGCTTCACAGGACATGAAGTAGGAGCCTAGAACAGTATAATGCTGAGAATATCATAGACTATACAGGTATAAATCAAGAATTTTCAAAGTGAACAGGATTTTAAAAGCAACTGAGATAAATTATGTGTTTGTGAGATTTTGAATAAGAATCTGGCTGGTTTCTGCTCATGTCCTGATATCTTACCTGGGGACAGATTAAAATGTAATCAATCAATATCTTTGAAATGGGAGAATTCAAGATCATAAAATATTGAATCTGTGGCATTGTTGTTATTAATAATGCCTATGAAAATCTTTAATGAAAAAATGCAGGTGCGGCAAGAAAAAGAAATACACACTGTACAATTTGGATAGAAATAGGGAGCTCAGCGTTACAATCATGGCACAGGCTAGAAGAGAGGTTGTTAAGGAGATTAGCCCCATTAAGCAGAGGCCTAGTCTGTAAGGGACAAAGAAAAGAGTGCCCTCACAGGAGGACACCACCACAGGGCTGACTCCTGAAAGTGACCCTAAGCCACTCCTGGTCCTAGGAAGCAGCTGACTAAAAGTGCTACTGCCCATGTAATTCAGGGTATTAGCATCCTTAGCCACCTGCCAAAAAACTTTGCTGTGTTGTGCATATGCTGATGACTTTAAAGACATGAAGTATTTAAGAATGAAGAACTCATGGATTCTTCCTCTATGGTTTCAGAGATCTACTGGTTTTTCTGTGTGAAGGCCCCAAAACATGAAGCTGTAAATGCAAAGCCTGGGTTTCAGTAGACAAACCCCTAAAGATGTTGAAGATACAAGAGCTAGGGGTTATGAGACAAGAAGAGTTATATTAATGATGTGAAACCTACCCAAATAAGAACTACATATTTCATGAGGAGCCATCTAAGCCCTTGACATCAGACATCTAAGTAGAGGATTTGGTGTTTATCTGTTGGGTTATGGTCCTGCTTTGTTCCAGTATTTCCCCACTTCTCTCTTCTCCATTACTTTCTTTTGTATTGGTAAATCATATTCTGTGGCATTATATGTTGGCAGTATATGATCTACATTTTTTAAAATTTTGCATGGGGGTTACAATTAAAACATTCTCCAGTCACAGAACATACTTTGAGCTTTTAAACAGTGTTTTAAATGATGTCAAAGACTGTGAGGCAAAAATAATAAAAGAAAAGAATAATAATAATAAAGGTACTTACCATGTTGTTTCTGTCACACTGTCTGCCTTTATAGCCGGGATCTTACAAAAATAGAGGTATTTTGGTGAATTGTTGTTGACTATGGGATCTACTGCTCATTGTTAGGATTTACAGAATTCAAGAATAGTCTTAAAACATAACAAATACTGACTTAAACATAACACTGTGAAATAATGAGCTGTATCATTGGGCAAGTGGAAGAACTTATGACTTCTTGTGTTCAGGGACAAGTTAGTGTAAAGATTAATCACGAAAGATGATTTCTGGCAGGCCTAGTCTGCCAAGAAAAGTTTCATTTTGGCCCTCATATTCTGAGAGCTGAGGCCAGGAAGTCTGAGAGCCATAAGGCGAAAAACAGCATGGGAGGCTGTCATGGACAGTAGTCAAAAAGTATAGATTCTTTCAGGAAGTTGTTTTTCCATCCTTGGATTATATCCAAGATTAATTCCCCACAAGTAGGATGTTTACTAAACACACACACACACACACACACACACACACACACACACACCACAATAAACTGGAAGAGCGATCAGTGCCAAAGATGCTCAATTTACAATTCAGAAACACAAGAAACAGGAAAAAACAAGGCAAGAATTTTAAGATATAAGAAAGAAGAAAATAAAGAGAATAATGCAAAAATAAACTGATAAATATGTTGAATTATTTCAAAGGGGATAATGAACAGTAGATGACTGAAGTACAGAAACCAATCTGAGTCTTGGAGAGGAAAATCAAGAATATAAATAAAAGTCGGCAAAATGAACAAACATATATCTGCAATACAAAATGGATGAGAACATTATTAATAAGGAAAAGAGACTCAGTAAGGAAACAAGTATTCTGAAAAAAATAACCAAACAGATAAGCCAGAAATGAAAACCTGAGTGTAATAAAAATATGGAAGGCATCACCAATATGTAAGACCAGTCATATATATATATATGCTATATATAATTATGAGTAAATCTAATAATATGATCATTATCATATTTGGATATGATAAGAATCAATTATGCAGAAGAGGAATCTAGGATAAAAATTGATTGTGTAAAGTATAGAAATTTTATTGGCCGAAATTAGAAGAAAATTTGCAATTCTAGTGAATAAAATCAATATTCAAGTATAAAATGCAGTTATAACTGCAAATAGACATAGGGAGAGAATAAACTCTCCATAATGCATGATGCTCAAGTTGCCCAAACTGCAAAACCATATTAGAAGTGATAAAAGAAATCTACTATTATTTTCAGGGTTTTACCGTTATATGTTACCTTGTACTTCTCCTTTTCAGCTTTCAATATCTTTTCATTCTTCAAAATAGCTAGTGCCATTCTTCAACATAGCTGTAAAATGTCATTTGTAGTTTATTGATTATGTCTTTTTGACCCTTAAAATGTCTCTAAATGTCTAAATGGCCATTTCTTATCCAAGACTAGCGAAATTTTGGGCTACAATTTTGTTGAATGGTTTATTATATGCAATTTGCTTAAACTCCTCATACTTTTTCCATGATTTATAGATTTTTGCCTTTAAGTGGTATCCAATAGATCAAATATGTTCTAAGTCTACTTTCTTATAATTTCATTTTTTTGTCATTTTACTGAATGTGCTAATTCACCTACCACTATTCAAACCCTGATATTCTGTCTTCTCTTTTATCTACTCCATTTTTCAGGATTTCTATTGAGCTTCAAAGTTTAACTTATTTACCTTTAATTTATAAAATTTTGATTTGATGTTCTTCAGTGTGTATATATTTCCCATTATGTATTTACTATTTCTAATATTTATTTAGTCATTTATTATTTATTTTGAGACAGGTTGTCTTTCTGTAGCCCTGACTTTCTTTGGATTAGTTATGTAGAAGAGACTGGCCTCAAATTCATTAAGGTCTACCTGCCTCTGCAGCTAGTGTTCTGTGACTAAAAGTGTGTGCCATCACACCTGGCCCCAGTATGTGTATATTTAATTCCAATATTGTATTCTGAATTTCATTTCTATCAACCTTTATCTTCTCAGGAGCTTATTCACATCCTCTTTGATTTTCTTAATCTTTCTTATATTAAGCATTTTGAAGTTTTTCAGGATTTTTAATTATTTAATTTCTTTTTTCATCAATTACTGTTGGAGTTGTAACTCCTAGAGAAATAATATTTCTTTGATTTATTCATGTGTATTTTATTCCTGAGTTGGAAGTTTTTTATATAGGATTTGGTTATTGATCGGAGTTTTAAAAAGTTACTTTTACTTTTTCAGTGGAAATACATGCAATATTGAATAGATTGTAGTAAGACTCAAAGAGGAATTTCACGTATCAATTCAATAGATTGAGTAAAGGCCTGTGACAAAGTCCATTCAGGGACAAAGTCCACTCAGGATCAAAGTCCTGAACAAATTCTGAATAGGAGGAAGGTAGTATAACACAGTAAAGGCTACATATGATAAATATATAGGTAACATTCTACTAACTGGATTCAAGGAGTTCAGCTCAGTGTTTAGCTGTGGATGTCTGCTTCTGCTTCCATCAGCTATGGGATGAAGGCTTTAGGATGGCATTTAAAGTAGTCATCACTCTCATTATAGGGGGTGGACATTTAAGGTAGTCTCTCTACTATTGCTTAGATTCTTAGTTGGGTGTCATCTTTGTGGACCTCTTGATATTTTCCTAGAGCCAGATTGCTATTTAACCATATAATGACTCCCTCTACTAAAGTATCTCTTTTCTTGCTCTCTGCAGAGAGGGAGGAAGGATGAGAAAAGGAGTCAAGACCTTACTGGGGAAACCCATAGAAACATCTGACCTGACCTAGTGGGTGCTCCAGGACACCAGTCGTAAAGATGGGAAACCAGCGTTGGACCAAACCAAGCCTTCTGAAGTTGGATGTCAGTTAGGAGGCCTGGGCAGTCAATGGGACCTGTGACAGTAGAACCACTATTTATCCTTAGTGCACAAATGGACTTTGGGAGCCCATTCCCCATGGAGGGCTACTCTGTCAGCCTGGATCCCAGATGATGTGACAGACTTTGATGATCACCCATGGAAGGCCTCCCCCTCCCTGTGGCGTGATTGGGGAGTGGAAAGGGGAATAGGATGGGGGGGGGGTCAGTAGGGAGCATGGGAAGATGAGAGAGAAAGAGAACTGGGATTAATATGTAAAATAAGATTGTTTTTAATTTAAATAAAATTTATATAATAAATAAAAATAAAATGTGAAAAACTTACACTGTGAGGAAAACTCAAAGCCATTCTACAAAACTCAGTAATGAGACAATTGTGTCCATTTGCTTTGAGACTCCTCCCCCTCTGCTCTACCACCTGGAGTATATAAACAGCGTATTTCTTAGTTCAACTCTATTCTGGGCATGCAGATTTCTTTGGCAACTTAGGCTTCACTTTCACAGCTTACACAAAGGTCTCCTAGGACCACTTGGCAGGAACTCCAACCCTTTCACTCACTGCTTGACCTCACAAATTTTAAGGGACTGTAGTGAAAAAGTTCCACGAATGTCCCTTTCATCATTCATGCCTGAAAAATCATGTGGATCATGCTGCCAAGTTCTGCTGCCAGCTCAGAATAGTGCTGGCCCTGTTGGACTGCAGTTCAGTTTTCTTTGTGCACATTTCCTTATGTATTTAGTTTTGAACCAGGAATACCTGCAGCTGCTTTATTAGTTTAAGCTTCCACTTTCAATTGAATTTATATTATGCAAGATTTATCATTTATTCTGTGTGTGGGATCTTATCCTTAATGCCTTTATTGCCGAAGGGAAGACTCAAGTTTCTCTTTAATGGCATTAATATTGTTAATAATCAGTGATGCCCCATTGACTGTATTCTTCTTATCTGAAACTTTTCGTTTGCTCAAACACATTTTCCTGTCAAACTTCACATTTTTCATGTCATTTTACTCGATTATTTTCTAACTCTCATTGAAGTTCTAGATGGGAGTGATGATGACAAGATATAGGATTTTTCTGGGCAATTTAGGGGGCAGAGATCAGGAAAATTGAACAGTACCACTCTTGTTCCTGAATAGAAACAGGAAATGTCCTTAGTTGTGTTTTCATCAGAGGCCAGGAATGCCAGAAGGAAGCACTGCTCCTTTTTTCTTACATGAGACTCCCTGTAAGGAGAACATGAGTGTGGTACCAAAATGTCAGTCTAAACACCAGTTCTTTTTGGTAAAAAGCTCTAAGACAGGAATACTTGATCATTATGATGAAAATTCTGCTTCATATTCAATCAAAATCTTAAATGACTATGGAGATTCTTGACTGGTGTGGAAATGCTATGGTAGTATTAGAGGCCAATATAGGTGGAGATCAATGCTCTGCTGATGCACATTAATAAAAAGTTATTTGTTCCTGGTCAAACAAATTGAATCAGCTACTGGCACTTGATGGTGGTACATACACACTATGAACTGCTATAAAAATTAGAAAGTCATATACTACTGACTCCTTTAAGAGTTAATTCAAATATGACTGTCAGTCATCTGGCCAATAGACCACATGTATCAGACAGTATCCTAAAGTCATGTTATAGATATAATACCGGTAATTATTTCCTTGATGAGATAATGTACTTTTCTTGCAAAGCTTTCATTATGTGGCATGATGCATCCTCCACCATAAGAGCAGCCTGTTTTCTGGGGTAAGTCCTTCCTTTTACTTCTTTTTTTCTTTACCTATTGGATATTAGATGAAACTTGGGCTATTTTCCAGACCTACTGGGATTTCTCCCAATTTTCTCTGATGTTACCCACCCTCACACCATGGGTTTATTTATATGCAACACAGGTTTCTCCTTTTGTTTCTTGTCTTTGTTGGTTGTCAATATTTACAGTTTTTTTTCTCTTCATAGCTAATAAAATTGTCCCTTTGAGTCAGTTTTTAAATGCCTTTATTTAATGGGACTAAACCTCCAAAATAAACCCAATTTTGCCAAATATTAGGAGTCATAAAAATATGACAACCATGACAGCCTAATCACCACCCTGTTTTGACATTAATCTACCCTAATAATGAGTCCTTTACTTTAAATTCATTCTTTCAGATGTCCTCAGGATAAGGAAAAAATTCAGACAGAATTGTTGCCTAAATACCACATGAATGATCTTTAGCCCAGTTTCTCCTAGAGTCTTCTTTCTATTTTGAAATCTTGCTTCTACTGCCCACTTTTCACTCTTATTTCTAATTCTGCAAACTCCTAACCAAATGGCTATTTAGCTCTGGTTACAGTGTACTAAGCCTTTTCAAGCTCATAATTACAAACTATTTGCCATTCTTCCTAAAATTCAATACCAAAGGCCTAAGAACAACATATCATATGTTATTTCAGTAATGACCCAATTTTTCAGAAAAAAATTCTAATATTAGTTACTCTGCTTATTGTTGTGACAAACTACCAAAAAAGGTTAAAGGAAGAAGTGATTGTTTTTCTTTACAGCTTACGTTGTTACAGTCAATCATGGTGGGAAATACATGGGAGCAGTAAAGAAAGAATTTAGGCACATTATATTTATAATCAGGATGTAGATTGTCAACCAGATATAGAGCTATAAAACTTCAAAGTCAGTCCCACCCCTTGACCCACTCACTCCAATAAAACTCTACTTCACAAAGCTTACACATTTTTTCTAAGCAGGGCAATCAGATGAGGATCATACATTGAAACACTTTATTTTATGGGAGGCATTTCAAATTTAAACCTCAACAGACACACACACACACACACACACACACACACACACACATTAAAAATATAATTTAAAAAAACTATGCTGAAAACAATGTTCAAGAATGAAATTAGTTTGATATCTCTCACCCTGTAGTAAAAGAAAATCAGAAATGGATCATACAACTTAGTGTAAGCCTTGATAGAGAACAAAAAGTAATAAATATATATGGTAGAGTTTAAGATGTGGATACAGACAAAGAATTTCTATAAAGGATTCAAACAGCTGAAAAAAATAAATTGTTAAATGAAATTATATGGACCCTAAGTGGGTTGATAAATCTACTTCCAAAAGTTGCTCTGAGCTGGGCTATGGTGGTGCACGCCTTTCATCCCAGCACTGGGGAGGCAGAGGCAGGTTGATCTCTGTGAGTTTGGGGCCAGTTTGGTCTACAGAGCAAGTTCCAAGACAGGCTCCAAAGCTACACAGAGAAACCCTGTCTTGAAAAACAAACAAACAAAACAATCATTCTAATAATTATATGAAAATTCCATTCAAAGGATTGGGCTTCCTCCCAATGAGTTGTTGGTCAGGGAGTCCTTAAGTTTCCCTTGTCCCCTAAAAATTGAGTTTCCACCCCTGTTACCCACTCAACAAAACTAGAT